TTCACTTTTCACTAAAATTTGCTTTAAGATTCAATAAATGTGAACCAATAAATAATTAAAATACAGCAATTTAACACTATCAGTATTTTTGTATACATTATTATTATTTCATAAAAGTATTATGCCATATTACTGTGCATTTTTTAACCCACTGTGTACTAATATTAAGTCTAACTTGTGATCACAACAAAACTCTGACTCATTGACCTTTACCAGAGAGTTGTGTCTGATAAGTAATTCAAACATTCTGGTAGACCATGCTGTTTTCCTTTTAAACAAGGGCTCAAGGGATTAATTTCATGCAAAGGAGACAATAAATTATACTGAAGAATATGTTTAATAATTATGTTTTGAAAAATAAATATGGAATTAATGTGATCACTAATTTTACAACTTTGATATATATGTATTGCAATTAATAGCAAAGAGAGATAAAATTATGCAGAGAAAGTTTGTGAAAATCTCACTTATTCCCAGCATATGAAACTAGACTGATTCAAAGCATTATCCCTGCTGACTTTTGCACTTGTTTACTGCCTGAAATGTAAATATTGTCTCTTCCCAGTCTGAGTGTTGGTTGAGTTTCTTTAGTATACTTTTCTTTTTCATAGAAAGAAAGTACCAATGAGATTACCATATTGTATGTGTGTTTGTGTGTGTGCTTGTGTTCCTCTTTCAATTCATGCACCAGCTACTGATTTTATGAACTTTTGTAAGAATATTATGTCACTGGAGACCATCCAAATATCATACTTTTTAATTTCCTACAAACTGTAATAACAAGAAGTTGGACTCACAAACCTGTGGGGTAGGAATGACACTAGTAACAATTACTATGGGATTTTTAATGTTGTGTGGTGAAAAGACTTCAAAGAGAATGCATATTTTGCCATGTATTTTTTTTATAAATTAACAAACACAACTTGAAAATTATGTGTCGATTTCTTTTAGCTTTAATTTTGCCAGCAATAACTTTCAAAGTAATGGAGTTGGTAACATAAAATGTTATATGAAGATAGAAATTATGTTATGAGTATGTGAAGATGGAACTTTTCAACAAATTATGCATTAAGTACATGTTAGTCAATATTTATAGATATAATGAATATGTGAAGCTTCACAAAATTAAAATAGAGGTAATAATAATAATAATAATAATAATAATAATAATAACAACAACAACAACAACACAACAACAACAACAACAACAAATATTTATAACATATTTACAGTCACAAGCAATAAAACATTCTGACTCAAAATGCATTTGTTCCTGTGACCATTTACACACAAGTCCAGTATACTAACATGTCAGCCAAATTGTGTTCCAGTCTTGAATTATGATCTTACATTATATAAATAGGGTCAGAAGTGCAGCAGTTGCTGTCCATTAAAATATTCCCTAATGTCAAGAAATAGTGAAATTGTTACTATGTGTATAATTGATAATTTAGTAACACAAGCAAGAGTATGTAACATATAAAATTATCGAAATTTTGGATGAAAGAGAACACTCAGTACTATGTGTATTTCTTCATCACCCAGATTTAAACCCAACTGAGTACATTTGGTGTTTCATCAAAGAGAAGATCTATGTTGTTAAGGCAAAGTTACTTTCATGTTAGTGCAAGTAAAACAGAACATGGCAGCTACAACCCAAGAAGAAAGGTTTCCTGGTATACACGCTTTCAAAATGACAATTTTATAGATGAACAGTCCAAAACAAAAGGTACTGTGATGTATCAGATAATTCTGAGAGCGATTTTGAAAGCATAGATACAATTGAAGAACAGAATGAAGAGCTTTCGTGTATGATGCGTAACAACTTTGATGTTATAATGCTATAATATTCTCTATTATCAGGTATGAAAACACCAGATGACTTAAAGAAGGTTATAAATACTCCTGCATTCTGTTTCTGTGATGTCTGTGTTAGTGTACAAATTAGAAAACACAATCAAATATACCAACAGATTTATTGCTACCCACCTTTAACCAGCATCTGCATATTCATGGCCATGTACACACACATGCATCTATATATATAATGTTCATTTCATATTTGAAATACCGAAATTATTCAATTAAATAAAAAGTAAAAAAAAGTAAAGCTATCCCTGTAACAGGCTATGAAGACCTGTAGGGTTGTGAGACGTTGAGGGTCCCACATTATCTAGACAATCAGCTCAAGGATGGTGGTAAGGTTGTCAGCCTTACGCGCCGGCCGCGCTTCACTCCCCAGGAAAATTATTTAATTAATTTCTGGTACTCATTTCTCTTAGAGGCTGAGTAAATCCCAGGGACTAGTGCGGCCAGAAGGATTAGGTAAACTGAAAAAAAATGCAATGACCTCATTGGGACTTGAACCCGCGATCATCTGGCTTGTAGCATAGTACCTTAACCACTACGTTACCGCATACCCACAAAAAAATATGTACAAGTATTAATACTATGTTAAACTAGGCTGGAGAAAGGTGGTTCATGTTCTGGATCTTAAAGACACTGGATGCGAAATTGCGGACTGAATGCCTATGGTCAAAGATATGTGATGGACTCCTGTGAATGCACTTATGTACTTTAAGATCCCATAACAAGTAGGATAATTTTTGACCAGCTGAGCAACTATAGTCTTTTCAAGAGGGTATTTCTTTATGGAGTCAGTTAATAAAAGTAGGTTATTTTAGTTTAGTAAGCCCTCTAAAATTCAAGCACCTTATTACATTACAGTAAGTATTTAATTTAACATCAGGGTTTTAATAGTAGCCAGGTCCTAGCACCAATATTTTTTACTTTCACACATTTATGAAATAGTGTAAAATACATAATCTTTAGAAAAATTTTAATCCTTATGTTGTGTATGGTATTTTGGATGACATGATATGGAAAATAAATTCTGATTTCTAGTTTACCTGGAATATCAGCAAATATCCCCAATGACACATTTGCATGCAAATAATTTAGTTTTACTACAATAAATATGGTTATTATTAATGCATCTATTTACTATGTGTTTTAAATCTGTGACAGCCTATTAAGAAATTTGTTATGTATTTGTTCAAAAAAATTGTGGTATTGCAATTCTTAACACAAATGATGACATGTCTGAAGTAATGTCTTTTCAAATGAAGTAAAACCTGGCTCAGTGGTTGTTTGAAAATGCCAAGTATTATAGGTAAGATATTATCCTTTTGCATGTTGGAAGTGAGGAATAATTATAGAATACACCACATATGCTCCTTGAAGTAACAGCACTCACACACCACATGAAACAAAATTTACATAATACGTGTATATCACTACAGTAATAGGCAAATGCTCTTGGTTAATTTAGCACCATTTTGTATTAGCATGCCTCTTATTTACTCAAACTAAACACTTCTTTCAATAGTCCTGATATACCAACTACTGTAGCAGAAGATAAAGTTCGAGGAATATGAAGTTGTGGATTGTATAACTGTTAAATTTTAGGACAAATTAGTTTCCATATTCTTTCAGTTCTTGAAAGATTGCAACTAACAGTACAGTATTCAATACTCTAATACTGAATCATGGTATATATTAGGACATTTAATATTTTGTGACTTGATCTTCTTTTGAGTTGTGTTTAAAATTGTCATTCCAACAAAATTTATGCACAGGAACCTATTTTAAAGTTTCATACAATATTCCATTATTATATATTATAACATTTGGAAGTCTAATGTGTGAGGATTTAAGTTAGAATGTGACATTTATATGGTTCAATGCAGAGAAATGACCATTTATTTGTATGTTACAGAAAGAACTGTAAAGAATTAAATTACAGTGAAAACATTAATGTGTCTTGATAATTTCACTGTTAGTAAAGACTACATTTTCACTAACTGAAAGGTCCACACAAAACCATTCTACATTGGCCATAAACTATGGTGAGGATAATTACAATCATAATATTAACTCATGTAATACTTCAGGATCAATATCTATAATCATAATTACCCTCTTCAAGTTCCTAATGCATATGCAGACACTGCTCAATTAATGTGACAGCTGTGTTTGAAAAAAGTGTATGAGGGTGGAACTGCAAAAAATGAATTACAGGGAAATACTGTACTGAAGATATCCTTATACTCTTAAAGAGTGACAGTAGTAGAATCTCAGAAGAGTTTTGTGACCAGGACAAATTTTTCCTTCTCTCCTGGCATTCTTCCCTTGCCACCCACATAATTCCCTGCTTTGTAGTCTTCCAAACTCTCTTGATTGACCAGCAAACAATTCACATTAAAGCAGCTGTTATTAATTAAATGCAGTTGAAAATAGTTGAGCATATTAAAATGAAATAAAATGTTTAATTTTTATATAACAAGGAGTACCTGGATATGAAACAAATACAAAAAAGGAACTACTTCACAGATTAGGATGCAATGACAAGTTTCTAAGGATAAGGATGGTGTACATTACCAGTCTTGATAACATTTTTTTTATTCATGGGGTGGAGTGAGACTGAGTCTTTTGATACTGAGGCCATAAATGGGCCTATTTCACTAGTCCCATAAGGCAGATGAGAGAACAGAGCACCGGTGGAATGATACTTGATAAGGAAAACTGAAGGACTTATAAAAGAAATTTGTATCTTAGCCACTTTTTTATTACAAACTACATATGGACTGTCCTGGAATTCAACATAGGCTTCTGTGATGAAAAGTCAGTGACTAACCGCCTGAACAATGACATGGCAGTAGAAATATCAGGAACTTACTATAAGACATACATTAAGAATGATGAAACATTCCTTTTATTCTGTAGATGAATTTATGTCTTTTGATTCATCAAGTGTGTAAATGTAATATGTAGCTGATTAATTTGTTGTATTTGTGTAAAGACAATGAAATTAATGCTAACTAGATCTACATAATATTATTCAGATGACAAACCCCCTATATTAGGGTGGTACAGTGTATACTGTAAAGATATGCAGGAGAATTAGATGTAAAACTGACAATTTCCTTATCCAAATGGTTGTAATACCTGTATGTATGGATTGCTGAATGATAATAAAATGATAAAATGAAAATGATAATCTGTTAGTAGGAAAAACTGATTTGTTTGCCATTTCAGTTAAGTGTAGTTGAGATTTAACATAAACTAACCATTCTTTACCAAATATGCATTTCAGACAGATCTCCAGACTTGCTTGTTCTGTCTGACAGTTTTTTTTATTGTCAGTGTTATTCTATGAGTAACTGAGCATATTGAGAAAGCTGCCTCAGTTGGTATCAATTCTGACTTGTAATTATGAGGTACCACGTTAGAATCTCGGTCAGAACACTAACTACCCTGGCTAAGGTTTTCGTGGTTTTTCTCAGTCCATCCAGACAAATCCCAGGATATCTTGAAATAGGCCATGACAACTTCCTTCCAGTTCCTTTCAAATTCATCATTCATTAATCAACTCATGATTTGACACTATATATTCTGAGCTACCCACTACATTGCTAAATAGACCACAATAAAAATAGAGAATACCAAATATACTGCCAACACAGAACTATAGGGTGATAAGTAAAAGGCTTACAGGCTATAAGGGGTATAGTACTAATTTAAATGAGTAAAACAGTCCAGAAACCAGTGTCTGTTGAAGTATGGGTTACGTTCATAGTGATCTCTACAGTAGATGCTCTTTGTGGTTCCCATATATTTCAATGCAACTTTCAGCTCTTTACCTCACAGAGGTACTCACTCTGCCAAAAATTCCTGGTTACATTCAATCTCCTGACAGGCAGGCTCTACTCATCACTGTAATACCTTAAGTCACTGATGGGTGCTGAATAAACAAAAGTCTTTAGGTCTCACAACAGCCAAAATCAAGAGGATTAAGGTTAAGGGATCATGCAGGCCAGTTTACTGGGCCTCCACATCATATCCACTGTCCACAGAAAGCCTAGTTCAGTGACTGATAATGCATAGAAAATGAGGTGGTGCCATATCATAAATGAACCATATGTGTTGTTGCTGATGAAGAGAAAAATATTTAAAGAATACTGGTATATCATTCTTCAAAAATCGATGGTACACTGTACCTATTAATCTGGTAGGCAAGACAACTGGTCATAAGAGTTGATCACCTAAGATGCCAGGCCAGACACCTACCCCCCCATATCTCAGCTGACACTGATTTCTGGACTTCTGTTTGACTGGAACTCCTTTGCTCATATAAGTGAGTATTATATCCCCTTAAAGCCTGCTGTACTCTTTTTTTTAACACACTGTACAAGATCACCTTGATATCTTCAGTCTTTAGAACAGATGAAAAAAATTACATTTGAGAACTATTAGAATGTAAGAAAATATATATAAAAGTTTTTATAAAAAGGATTAGGTGCATTGCTGAGTGCGTATTAATTGATAAATAAATGGAGTTTCACAAAGTAAACTTGTTACAAAATCACGTATTTATTGCAAGGAATAATGGAAGAAGATATTCAATATGTTAATGCACATTTTATTCATATATCAGGGCAACAATTTTAACCCAATAGAAAACTGATTCTGGGAAACACAGTCATATCAGTGTATTTAATGGAAGAAATTAAAGATGTTATACATTGGTGTTAAATAATCTTTGCCTTTGACACAGAATTAAGAAACTCTGTCAGCAGCTTCTGCAAATAATCAAATACATAGATAAATCTCTCATTATGAGAAGCTGAGGTAGAACTTTTCAATAAAAATAAGCATTGGATATAATGGTAGTTTATGGACACTCTATCTTGTTATGATAGTGACCTCTGTGTAGCATTCTCTGCTACTGTTATATTAAAGAAAAAGATAATTCCAAATGTACAGCAGATTTCTATACTTTGAAACAAAATGCACATATAAATACCCTTACTTTCAATGTATTGCTAATAATTATGATTCTAGCAACTGAATGAAGGTGGAGTGAATCAATTCACTGTCTAGTTTTTATATTATCTGAAGTTATTGTTTCAATTACAGATGTCATATAGCACTGAACATGATGATAATATGATGATGAATGGCAAGCATTAGTGATTAAGAATTTTGAAGAAGGCAGTCATGGCCTATTTCAAAGTACTTGTATTATCCTAGAATTTGCCAAAATTGATTGATAAAAACCATGATAAATCTCACAGAGAATAGTTGGTTCCCAAGGGATCCAAACAGGATACATTTAAAAAATGGACATAGGCTATCACAGCTACGAGTACACCATTATGCTTGGCGGTGGATTGGACATAGCTACTAACAGCCATGACATTAAACACTGATATCTTGTGCAGCATGGAAATTAACTTCTCAAAGAGCTTAATTGTAGGCATATTCATGTATGGTTTGTCTGTTCTCTAGGGGGACCTTACTTTAGCCAAACAAAGATATTATTTCATGTAATGCAGTCAGTAAAGTGACTGGATGACCAAGGTTTAATTTTTGACAGCAAGTACTGAGGTCCAGAATGTACATAATATGCTTATATGGCATGGTGTATAGACACAAAGACAGCTTTATCTCAGCTTACAGCACTTTGTTTCATGCAGATTTATCACGAAAAAGAAAATCAGAGAGGCAAATAGTGGGATAGAGTTATATGATTAAATTTACACCGGTCAAAACCCTAGTTTATTATGTGGTATGCTAGTATTAGAGTAATAACTTTTGGAAATTACAGGTCCTACATGTAGCCCAGGATGACATTTATCATACTGATTAATTTTATATTTTACTGGTGTGTTTTGCTTTCCTTCAATCTTAGCTTACATTTCTTCATACATATACAAACATATCCCTTCAGTTATAAATTATGGAGGTCAGAAATCACTAAAAGAAATACACTACAAATATGTGATATGCAGACATCATCTGAAGAGAAATAGAAAATATTTTCCAGCAAAATAAATGGAAAATTTGACATTATGTTTTCATCAGTTTTCTGTTGATCCTCCCTGGTAAGTGCCATACACTTTCCTTATCCAAATCATTCAGCCTGGTTACCTTTAGTATTTTTATGCAGAACATATATTTAATATATTCAGAGCAATGTGATTGGTCACTCAGTCATTTACTGGTATTGTTTTAAGTGTATAATCCTTATAGCATTGGATAGTAAGATAATCATGAATGATTAGTTGGATAAATGTTGAGGGAAGTGCTCATGACCTACTATAAGGTTCTACCCATAAAAGCCTCCAGTTAGGATGGCTGGTCTCTGGGTCAATTTCTGAACCTGAGGTTTCCCAAATATTAACCACTCAATTATGTCTCTTAATCACAACTTACAAAAACTACACAAACTAAATTCTCCTACATGTAAAATTCATAAATAACATATAAGATATCAATTGCAATACCTCATAATATGAACAAAGGTGTACTGCAGTCAAAACTTGACTTATCCTAGCAAGGATGGGATTTTTACTTGTTGGGTCTTTTCTACCTCACCTCAGCCACACAGGAATGGGATCATAATTATTTTGAAGTTTTTGTATAGGAATAGGATTCATCTAAGTTTTCCCCTCTTCTGGAAAGGCTATAAATGAAAATAGTATAAATGGCTCAACTTCACATGCCACACTATCACTTTACATTATTTATGGTGTAAGTGCTTTGTGATATAATAATTATCTGGTTATAACACCACTGTGATTTCAAATACAATACTAACAGTATATAGGGAAAATTATCATTTGAACTGAAAACTGTACCAAATTTGTGTACATATGCATACATGGTCTGTAAGTTTATATTAATAAAGTCAAGAGCAATGTTACATCAGTATACTGTATAAAACAACAATAACTCTATTGACAGCTTACAGAAAAGAAAGAACATCTTTAGAATAAGAAATATCTCCCTGATTAGGAAGTACATTTTTAATGACTATAGTGTTAAATATCAATTCATGAAACCAGTCCAAAATAACATGAGGATAACAGATTGACAACTTCAGAGACTTTCTGTCACATGATCTGCACTGAACCATCGAAATAACAAGATTCTGTTAATATTAACATGTGGTCTAGGTTGGAAGTTATATTCGACATAGTTTGTTAATTTTTGTTTTCTATTTTTCCTGGATGATACTGAAGATATATTAATTATGGCAGTGATGTTGCATATGAACCCGGCTACGTAAGCAGGTAATTTACACACTATCTTCTTCAAATTCCCACCAAACACAAAGCATTTTTAAACACGAATCTAATAATAGAAGATGAAACAACTTTCAGGTCATTGACAGTGTATGGTTACCATATTCTCTTCTTTGCTTAAGTTCTGCAGAGCAAACTTATAAAGTCTTCTTACTAGACTCATTTGCACAGTAGGCATGAAATAAATTAGTCTGGTTTTATTTCTCTGAAAATTTTATTATGAGGGCTATTTGGAAAGTAACCTCCATTTATTTTAGTTAACTAATGTAGGAGTGGGGTAAGCTCATGCACGTGAGGTAGCGTCATATGATTCATTGCCTTGTAAACTGGTAACCTAGTGTTTGGTCTTGTCTCTGCAGAGTGAGTTATGATGTGTCCTGTGACTGATACTTCTGCCAGCTGCGAAATTCGCGCTTTTATCTGCTTTCTTCGTGCTAAAAAAATAAGAACTGGGTAAATCAATCATGAATTGTGAGTGGTTTATGGCCAAAATTTGATCAGTCAAGGAACTGTAAGACAATGACATAGAAGGTTAAAAGATGAGTGAACAGATGTTAATGATGAAGAGTGAAGCATTCAACCATTTGTAGTGAGCGATGATCTTTTTCAAAGTGTTAACCAAAAATCGGTCAAAGAAGGCAGTTTACAATTTCAGAACTTCTGTGTGAATTTCCACAAATTTCAAGTACTATTCTCTGTGAGATTATCACAGTTAGTCTAGGCTATCACAAGTTTTGTGCAAGATGGGACCAGAAAATGCTCACAGTTGCGTACAAAACGCAGAGAATGGCATCATCTTTGACTTCTTTAGAACAATACCACAATGATGGTGATGAATTTCTCAGTCACATCATACAAGTAGCAGGTGATGAAACCTTGGTTTCATTCGTGAATATTGAAACTAAGGAGCCGTCAAAGCTGTGGATACACACACATTCACCAAACAAGCTGAAAAATTTAAACAAATTTGTCTGCCAGAAAGCTGATGGCAACTGTTTTCTGCAACAGGAAAGGGGTGATGATGGTGGAATTCATGCAACAAGGGACCACAATAAAGTCAGAGGTGTATTGCGAAACACTAAACAAACTGCATAGAGCCATTCAGAACAAAAGGCATGGAATGCTGACATCCAGTGTAGTGCTGCTCTATGACAATGTGTGTCTGCATACAGCTACATGCACTCAACCACTGCTGGAGCATTTCAACTGTGAGTTGTTTGACCACTCTCCTTACAGCCCTGATCTTGCTCCCATTGACTACCACCTGTTTACTTGTACCAACCTGAAAAACTAGTTGTGATCACATCATTTAAACAATAATTAATAGCTCATGGAAGATGTCAAAATGTGGCAAAGCTCACAGGATGCAGACTTATTTAACATAGGCATACAAAAACTTAATCCCCAACATGATAAGTGCCTCAGTTCTGACAGTAACTATGTTGAGAAGTAGCTTAAGTATGTATGTATGTATCTGTTGTGCATAATATTCTTTTTCTCCCTATTGCTTGTTTTGTTAACAGCTTACTGGAGGTTACTTTCTGAATGGTCTTCATATTATAACAGTTCTAAGTGCATTTAAATTAGCTGCAGACTTTATGAATCTATCATAACATGTTTGCAAATATCAAGGTGAAATATTTCTTTCATTGTAGACGAAATAACACAAAATATCCTCAAATTATCCATAGTTATAAAGTAACATATATATAAATATATGCATAAATTGAACTATGAGCAGAAAGAACCATTGACTGACAAACACTTTGATTTTATTACAAACAATTTTGAATTTTCAATTTATTTTAAGTTTCCAACTTCCAGAGCACATTTATGAAACACATAAGACACATAAGATGGTGTATTAAAAGTGCAACAGATACAAGTAGCTGAAAGGAGAACTGAAAGGGACATTTTTTAATCTGCATTACCTAGTCCTTTCTTAAGAGTCAGAACACCAGCCTTATATTCAACTACAGTCTCGCAGCTCATAGACATGCATAGGCATGGATAGTAAATTCATAGTGTATGGAGTTATGGTTTAAGAGTCTTTCCCACTTGTTTTACTTAAAGCATAAGACACACTGCAGCAACTTTTTTACAATCACTGAATTTAGTTAATTTAATTTAAATGTTAAGAGATAAAACTGAAAGACTGATGACATGAATTCCTCAGAAAGCTATAAGGAAAGGATGTGGAAATACAGTACAAGATTTGCTAGAATTTTGCATAATGGAAAACTCACTGATTTCTGCAAGTGTAAAAAATACCTAATATTCATAAGATAGTAAAATCTAGAAATCTATGGCAGCTTGGGTATTTAGCAAAGATGGTAAAACAGAATATCTATGGGGAAGTCTCTGGTAAATGATTACTTGGAAGACAGAGAAGGAAGTGGAAAGTGGATGGAACTCTTGTCCAATAGTATTCTTTTATATTAGCAATGTTGAATCTTTGGCTTATATTATTCAAGAATCAGTTATATTTTGTAAGAAAAGAATATTTTCTTAGTGTCAGTCTCTTTCTTTTGAGAGCCATGGTAACTCAGTAAATATAGTGACTGCACTGTGGGATGGATGACCAGTGTTCAATTCTTGTAAGAGGAAGGGATTTTTCTCTTTGCCACCATGTTCAGATCATCTCTAGAGTCCACCCAGTCTATCAAATAGATACTAGGAACTCTTTTTCAAGGGATAAGGCAGTCAGGGCATGAAGCTGACTACTCAGCTGCAACTAATACCGAGGTTAAGAATGCAATGAGATACACCCCACTCTTTTATATTGTGTGGTTCTTAAGCACACTGACTTTACTTTTCCTTTTACTGTCTTTATTGCTATCAATAAAATATTTGGAAACTTTAACTTGATTGTATTCAGCAGTAAGAGCACTGCACTGCACAGACAGTTGTGTTTCATTCAGAACACACACTAACATTTCAGTTTTACACAGTGGTACTGAGATGTCCTTTGCAAAGTATAATCAGGCAAGGGTAAGAATTTTTCTCTTCTTCACAGTTTCTGGACTGGTTCTGGGGCACAAGTAGCCTCGTATCTGATGGGAACCTGTGACTCTTTTTCCATATGTATATGGCTGGAGTGTGAAGCTGGTCACTCACTTCCACCTAATTCTGAAGTTAAGAATGCATTGACATATACACTGACTTTGTGGCATGATAATTTAGCACAGGTACAACTTTACTTCTCATGAGAAACTCAAGAAAACGATTTTAGAATAATATCTTTATATATAACTGGAAAATGTGCAGTTTAAAATGCATATCAGCTATCAAGTATTACCTTACAGTAGTTCATTATGGCTCATTTATGGTGTATGAGTAAAGACCAGAGGTTAATATTTTGCATTGTATTTGCAATATGAAATGGTAGGTATTGGTGTGCCTATATTCCAGTATAATCTTCTGCTAACCAAAAATTAAGATATGCTTACATTTTTCTATATACTCAGCCAAAGCCTATTGTGCCATGAAATCCATAAGAGATTACAGCTTCCCAATATGCATAGTTCTTTGGAGTAAATGAATCATATAATAACATTACAGTTTAATATAGAATGAAAACCTTTTTCATGACAATACAATTTTGTAAGTACTGTCTATCAAGAAGTATGCATTCAGAAAGGTAACCTACATGACCAGAAATTCCTAGTTGTTTCATCCCAAGCATCTGGATATTTTACTGTCTCACAACTCTATCGTTACACAGCAGTAACCTTTAAGCATTTTGACACTCTCCATAGGATTATCTTCCATCACTTTTCCCACTTTGTCCACTATTCACAATGATGTAATGTTTTATTGCTTAGAATGAATTCTTACTTAATGTATTTCAGCCTGCATTATGTTTAGATCACACGTCACAGATATGCTTCACAGCAACACGCTATTCCTCTAACTTTTCAACAATCTGCAAGTGTACCACCACAACAGTTTACATTAATTCTTTTTGTAACTTTTCAACACAGCTAAAGCCTCTGAAACTTACAAAGTATGTACATAATACTTCTGGGGTACAGATTGTCTGCAAGAGGCTCTGATACTCTTTCCCATATAGGTTTTGTCACTGACCATATAGTGCTGACTGCCTTAAACTGCACGCACTGAATGCCTTCATGTTAAGCTTACATTTGTGCTTTATGCTATGGATATCAACAAATTCTCTACAATGTGCTATGACATTGCAGGTATTTTCCATAACATTATTGCCTACAGTAGTATTTAACAATTTATGCCATATGCTTTAACAACCAGTTCTTTATAGGTAGCTACTGCCTGTCTTCCATTTCCGTATCAAGCTACAAATCCCAACCAAAGTTGTCCAACCCAAGGCACTTCCTTCTATCAATAAGCCCAATGAATTTCCTTTGTTGAAAAATGACTTCAACTATAGCAATTTGTTAGCTGAAGGGTAACAACCCTTTTATTTTTAAATATTTAATTAGAAGTTTTCCACTAGCAACAAAGACCATCTAATCACTTAAGCTATTACATTGCAGATACACATAATAAAAAGCATATTTCTAATATATGAAATGTCTTCAAAATTTGTTCTTATGTACCGGACGTACCACACATCTTAATTTTCCTTACAGTTTCGTTTGCACATCAAACAATCATTTTTCATCTTAATTGATCAATAAACTAAACAAGTTATATTACAAGAGTTACAGGATGAGGTATTTTGTGCACTGATTTGGTGATCTTCTATCTTCATATGATACCTCAAGTATATCACTATGCTGCAACCTCACTTCAACCAGAAATGTCTTACTGCTCATTTTTTCTGGACAATATGTAATCCAAGACAAATTCTTGGTAGTGGCTGTAGATTTTGCTGGTTGTTATGTTGGTAGTTTTATGAAAGCTGTAAATAGTGTGAGAATTTTAGAAAATGAGTAAGCAAAGAAAAATATTCTACCTGAAGGAATGCGATAATGTATAAGAAGGATATATAAATACATATACATGGAGATATTTCAAAGGCCCTACAAATAAATGAACCTGCCAAACAGAAGAGCCTGGTGTTCCTCCCATCATTTCAGACCCACGGAAAATTGGGCAGCTAGCTGAACCAACAAACCTAAAACCTAAGCAGATTAGAACTAAAACACACCAAGATAACAGCAGATGCTGGAAATAATTCCCATTGTTCCACATGCACTCCAGAACCTCTAAATATAATTTATGTTGATGAACTGAAATTCTTCTTGGGAAAACGATTTTATCCAGTTTCTCTTCAGGACATGAGGAATGGAAAGGCTACAGGAGATGATGATGTACCTGGAGATGTGCTTAAGTTACTGGGAGAAGGTGGTTTGAAAACATCGACAAAACTAATAAACACCGTATATGAAACTGGGGAGTGGCCCAACGACTTTACAGAAGTGACAATGTTTGCCTTAAAGAAAAAGACAAAAGCTACAAAATGCAGCGACCATCGCACAATAAGCCCTATTGCACATACAGCAAAGATACTTAAAAGAAGAATCAAAAGGAAAATAGAGGATACACTTGGAGAGGATCAGTTTGGATTTAGAAGAGGAAAAGGAACCAGGGGTGCAATTGGGATGATGAGAATTATAGCAGAACGAACTTTGGAGATAGATGAAGAACTGTGTGCTTGCTTTATAGACTGGCAGAAGGCATTTGACCATGTAAATTGGACCAAATTAATGCAGATCCTAAAGGAAACAGGTATTGATTGGCGCGAAAGAAGATTGATTAGTAAATTGTACATGGATCAGAAAGTTAGAGTGTGACTGGACAGACGGGAGACAAGAAGTGTGAAGATTGGAAGAGGAGTTCGACAAGGATGCTGTTTATCACCAATTTTGTTCAGCTTGTACAGCGAATGCCTTACCAAAGAAGCTCTGGACAGTCTTGGAGACTTCAAATTAGGAGGGCAAATTATTCAGACTGTGAAATATGCAGATGACCTTGTGTTAATGGCTAAGGAAGAAACTGTGCTACAGGGCATGATTGATAGACTAATTGAAATTGGAAGGTGCTATGGCATGGAAATGAATGTGGAGGAAACAAAAGTAATGAAAATTTCGAGACAACCAACCCCAGTCACAATAAAGATAGACCAAAAACAACTGGAGAATGTGAAATGTTTTAAATATTTGGGTAGCTTGTTAACAGATGATGGAAGGTGTACTTGTGAAATTAAATCCAGGATTGCCATGGCAAAAGCTGCATTTAGCAGAGAGGAATCTTTTTTTACCAGCAAATTGGACTTAAATTTGAGAAAGAAACTAGTGAAATGCTACATTTGGAGCATTGCTTTGTATGGGGCTGAAACTTGGACACTTAGGGCAGTAGATCAGAAACACCTGGAAAGCTTCGAAATGTGGTGTTGGAGAAGGATGGAGAAGATCAGTTGGACCGATTATGTGAGAAATGAAGAAGTGTTCATTAGAGTCACTGAGCAGAGGAATATCCTACACGAAATAAGAAAACGGAAGGCTAATTGGATTGGTCATATCTTACGTGGTAACTGCCTTCTAAAAGAAGTTATTGAAGGAAAGATGGCGGCGGATAGAAGTGACCAGAAGACGAGGAAGAAGACGTAAGAAGATGCTGGATGACCTTGGGGACAGAAGAGGATATTTTCATTTGAAGGAGAAAGCTCTAGATCGCATCAAGTGGAGGAACTGTTTTGGAAGAGACTGTGGACCTGTGGTCTTGACAGATTACAGATGAATGAATGAATAGTAAAGACCCTGATTGCCTTCATTTATAGTTCTCCCATGTAACATTGTAACAACCTCATATTCATTGTTCCATGTGACAGTCTGGCACAGGAAACACTATGTATGACTGAGTGAACGTTTACTGTGCAGGTCAAGTACTGTACCATAGTGGGAGTTAAAGAAACATGAGTGGGATGTAAGATCACTTCAAAGTAGCTGTCCAATTATTTGCTGGGGCACTACAAAAAGTCTCTCTGTAAATATATACAGAGTGGTTCCAATTTTTTTATCTCAATGTAAGGTTATCCCCCATTTAATTGCATTTAATTATCCCAGGTCAATCCAAATATTACTATCCCCTTCCGCATTTGATGATTTTCTCGGTGTACTGTTCAAATCCACTGCTCCCCAGGAATAGAAAATTCAAATGGGGTTTCTGTTATAAAAGGAATACCTAAAGAGTTTGGAAGTACAAATGAAAAGCGTAAGATCTAAAGGATGATCAAGGCTGAGATGGTTTACCCAGATAACTGGTAGTATTGTTAGCAGAAGAAACATATGACCTATGTATGAAGTGTAAACCTGTAGCATGACAATGATATGTTGAGATATTTCTTCCATCAACTCAACTCCAAGTGGAAAAAATGCTATAAGAAAGCAAAACGTTCAGGCAGGACATCCCAGAGGCATTAAGTAATTATGCTAGATTTGATGTTCTTGCAGTAGAGTAGTATTACATTATACCATGTAATCTGCTAAAGTTCACCAATATTTTGGAGAAAACTGGTGAGATTTTATCAGACCACACAGTATCACGCTGCAGATGGTAACATTAGTTCTTATTATTTGATTACTCTATAATGAGTTTCATGTTGGGGAAAGACGGCAATATGAAAAATGATTACTCTCATTCTTTTCAATCAAAGAAAAGTGCTTTGATTTCTGAGAGATTCTAGAAGCATGGACTAAATCTTGTCATAAAAAGAGTATGGTTCAAAGTACTCACAGTTGTCATAGCTTTCATTCTTCCTCTTCATCATTGCTGGTGGTCTGGACATCATCATCCATGCCCATCCTTCTTCTGTCTTCTTCATCTTCATCATCTTCTCCATCCTCTTCTTTCTCTTCATCACTAGCTTCACCATCAGCTTCCCTTGCTGTTGCTTCTTTTCGTGAATCCTCTGTTGTGGTTGATGATGTTGGTGTTTGAATCTGCTGCTGTAAGTCATCTGCTGTCCCGTTATGGACAAGTTCTGTCGCTGCTGATGACAGCAAACCATTTGCTCCCTGTAGCATGCCATTGCCTGCACTTGTTGTTGATGGCAGAGGTTTCTGCTGGCCTCCAATAGACTTTCTCAGGGTAGCTGTATGTTGCTGCAGAGTCAGTCCCACTGTAACTGCAGTTGTTGATTTTACAAGAGGCTTCTTAACTTCCTCAGTTTCTGGAGAGGGAGATGGTGAAGATTCTTCACTTGTTGGTGAGTCGGGTGATGATACCACTACCACCTGTTCATAAGTCAGAAATATTTAAGCAAAATTCCAATCTTGTCTTTTGGAGTCAGAGTTAGGATGATGAAATATACATGTCCTCTTTTATCTTCATTGTAGCTATTACATCTGGATCTAAGGAAAGGCTACTACTTATCCCAGAAAACTCAGTAAAAACATTATAACAATAACAATAGGAGGAAATGCCACAATCAGATTTGTCTTAGGACAGTTTTAAGTTTAATACTTTCCTGGATGACAAAAAGAAAGGTTAAAAATGAACGTAACTACTAATTTGATTGAAACTGATGCATATTCTATGTATAAAACATCTACTCAGTTCAGTACACAGAAATATGTTTTCCATTTTGAAAGTTAAAAAGAGTCATTTTATCTATAATTCAATTATTAATAATTATTCTTATATCCTCCTGTTCAAGTTACTGAGACAACCTTTGTCTGTCATATAACTTACAATCTTGTTTGCCGTCTATAATGCAACAATATTAAATTAACAACATTAATTCATTAAATATACCATTGGGACATTAAAGCAGCCGCAGTATATAAGATAAGAAGAAAATCATCCTATCACATCAGGATTCTAAAATGTTAATGACAACAACAATGATGTGCCTTAATGAATACCATTTCACAAAGTGCACAGTGCAGTATACTCCTTTGAAAACAATATTGTGACATGTTGACCCCCACCTCCCCAGCGGTACGTGGNGGGATATCGCGGTCGCTAGGCAACGCGAGTCAACAGCGGCGACGTTACGATAGTAACAGCGATTACCTCCGCTAGCGTTACATAGCAACACAGCGCCAGGCAAAGAGGGTGCCTATTACGTGGCCGTTTTCCCGTATTGTCCGATCGAGGCTACATAGGGAGAAGCGAAGGCTATTCACAGCGAGTTCTAGTGTGGCTACCGCAGAGTTGTACTGTGACAGCCGCCAAGTCGAGACGTAAAGTCAGCCAGTCAGTTGTATTCTGGCATTTGGAGTGTACTAATTGTGATACTGCAGATAGCAGTAATCGTAAATCTGTAATTTGGGTGATTGTATGAGCGAATGTGAAATAAAATTCGCTACATCGAATACATCGAGAATTTATTTGTCGCGATATACGCCCGATACGTGACAGTAATTATTTGCNTGCCTGAAGATGGCCCTATGTGACTGAAAGATGTAGCATAAACACTGAATGAACATATGTAGGTTATCCAGAAAGTAAGTTCTGATAGGGTATTAAAAAAAAAAGAATTTATTTCCAAACCATTTATATTGCCGTTTGATTACATATCATACGCTATTTTTCAACACAGTTTCTACCATTGTTGAGGCACTTTTCATAGCCGGGCACAAGTTCTTGTATCCCTGCATTGTAGAACGATGCCGCCTGCGATGAAAACCACATGTTAACGGCTTCTTTGGCCTCATTGTTGTCATGGAACTGATGGCCACCAAGGAAAGTTTTCAGATGCAGGAACACATGAAAATCACTTGGTGCTAAGTCTGTGCTGTAAAGGGGATGATCAGATTGTTCCCAGCCAAATGTCATGATGAGATCTTGCGTTCCAGCAGTAGTGTGGGGGCAGGCATTGTCATGAAGCATCACAACACTCCAACTAAGCATGCCATGTCACTTGTTCTGGATCGCACAATGCAGTTACTTAAGTGTGTCGCAATAAACACCTGTGTTGATTGTTAAGCCTTGAGGCAAGAATTCCACAAGCAGAATGCTTTTTCTGTTCAAAAACACTATTCACATGATCTTGTGAGTTGAAATGGTCTGTTTGATTTTTTTCTTTATTGGTGATGATGTGTGCCTCCATTCCATGGACTATTGCTTCGATTCAGAAGTTATGTGTGCACCCATGTCTTGTCCCTTGTGATTATGCAGCTCAAGAAGTCATCATCTTGCTCACTATATCATGTCAGAAAGGTCAACACACTGGCCTGTTGTGTCATTTTGTGTTCATCTGTAAGCATCTTCGGCACCCAACACAAACACAATTTCTGGAAACGAAGTTTATCAAACACAATTTCGTGAAGACGTGACTGAGAAAGTTGTGGAAAATACAGGGAAAGTGACAAAATGGTAAATTGTCTGTTCTGTTGAATTTTCTCTTCCACTGCATACACCAAGCTTTCATTAAACACAGATGGTCGGCCACTCCACAGATCATCATGCACATTTTCATATCCTTCATTAATGTGTCACACCTATCTTCTTACCATTGTATCACTCATGGCATGTTCTCCATACACGTCACAAAGTTGACAATGAATGTCAGCCGGTTTCATGTTTCTTGCATGCAAGAAACGGATTACAGACCGCATTTCACATGGAGCAGGCTTCTCAATTTTCTTGAACATTGTAAACACACAGGTTGGTGTATAAACGCAGTTTGATTGTCTGTGCCTTCCAAAAGGACCAACAAACTCTGCACACATGTGCACCATAGTGACCGCCAGACTGCATTGGCAATATTCGCAAATGGAACTTATTTTGTTGATACGCCTTGTATATTTTAATAATTTTAATGTCATTTTAAACACTTAGTGACTTAAGTGTGAATTAATGTTGTTGCATTACAGACAGAAAGCAAGACTAAGTTATACCTCAATGCAACTTACTTACTTACTTACTTACTTACTTACTTACTCATGGAGCTGAGCCCTTCTGGAGAAGCCACCAATTCAGCAGCTACTCAAGAATTTCCCAGCATTTTATGGAACCTGAAGGTTCATACCGTGTTCACAAGAGCCCTCCACTGGTCCTTATCCTGAGCCAGATCAATCCAATCCATACCATGCCATCTTATCACTCTAAGATCCATTTTAATAATGTCCACCCACCTATGCCTTGGTCTTCCCAGTGGTCTCTTTCCTTATGGCTTTCCCACCGATATCCTATATGCAGTCCTCATCTCCTCAATTCGTACTACATGCCCTGCCCACCTCATCCTCCTTGACTTTGATCGTTCTAATTATACTTGGTGAAGAGTACAAGTTATGAAGCTCAAACCAAGTTCTTTAGCTTAGGTCATTTATCCAAAGAATCCATCCAGGTCTGAGGTTTTGTGTTCATTTTTATAACATAATTATTTTTTACAGTGAGGAGTTGTTAGCCCCACGCCCAACCCCCGACCTGGAGGACCACCCCTTGTCGGCTGTCCGCAACTGCTTATTCAATATATTCACAGCTTCCCTTCAAAAGTGCAGGGTGTCTCCTCCACCCACAACCTGAGGACATGCCATGCAGTGGTGACAAGGGACCCACCTAACATGGACCTCAATGCAACAGGATGCTGAAATATAATATTTTGTCTTTCATGACTTGTGACATGTCAGATTTCAGTAGTCGTCAGCCAGTGGCATACCTAAAAATAACTGAACTACAACCCAGCATAGAACAAAAGACAATTTTCTCTGGCTTGTATGTGAAACAGAAGCAGGAAACTGCCTTTGTCCTCTGTATATATTAGCATGAGCCCACTGCAAGCAGACTTTAGAGTACCTGCTGTTGAGATCCTGCTGGAGATGCGGCTGCTGATTTCCTGCCCCTGGAGACTGGGGAACCCCTTGCTCCATGTCCGAGTTGCCAGGGAACACCTCCCACTGTCGAAGAGGCTGACACCGATGGTGGGAGCGGTTTGCTCACTGGCAAGGATGGAAGGTGAGATGGCTGAGAGGCTGCTGACAGGTGAAGTGAAGGAGAGAAGACCTCCCGAACTGTCTGTGAAAATATGGCCTGATGATCTGGGCTCACTTCTACTCTTGTGTAAATTATAATCTTGACCAGGCAATATTGAAGAGCACTTTATTATACTGTTGTTCTGTTGTGGATATATTTTAACATTTTATTATTTTATTGCAATTTGAAGGAAATATGAATTAGATGTAGGAATAGATATGAAATGGTTTGCTAGCATCACTTGGTTGGTACCTACAATTGAAGAGGAAGAAATGTAGCAAACCTCTGAGATCTCAAAATAAACGTAAACAGGTCCTTGCCTTATAAAGTTTTACATTAATAACACACAATAAATTTTAATATAATAATCAGGTCACATTTTTATGATAAATTTTGTCAATTATTTCCTTCCTTATGCTGATATTTCTTCACGCAGTCATCCATCATTCATTCACTCACTCCATGGAAAACAGTCCATGAGAAACAAATAATTGCTCAGCTAGTCAAGAAACGCCCTACTTTTTATGAAACCAGGTTTGTTACTATGTTCAGAAGATCCCACCATTAGGCCCTATCCATAGGTCACAAGTATTAACCCTCAAGAGGCAGTTCTGGTGCAAATTTGCTACCAGAACTACTTATTTCCTATTGACAAATGCGAAATGGAAGTTCTATAAGACATACTCTTGGTGTTCTAAAGTAGGTTATACTAAGCAAGTTAGTATTGTTTTCAATGTAATCAGTCACTAACATCCTTTTAACGTTTATCAATATGACTGTGTTTACTCTTGGATCAAACTTGCTCTGGCACTGCCATTCATGTGAGTAATTTTATTTAACTAAACAATTTTTTTTTTTTTTTTCACTAAATGTTAATGCCAATACTTCAGCATTTTGTACACTTAAAGGTTATTTGACTACACAAGAATAATTATAGAACACTAGGTGTTTTGTGTGAACTTCTTCTATACAGTTTATTTTTACTAAAAATGTATGTATATAAACTTCAATGTAATGGATATACATGGGTAGATATATGAATTCTGATAGTTGCTCTTTCAGAGACTTTTTGTTTTATAATTTTATGATGACACATGGTTGAGATATTAAATTTTGAACATGGAGCAACAATTATAAAATTAAATGCTGCAGTAACAAATTTAAGTGTTTGGGGAATTTTAATGTCCCACTTCAGGAGAGATAAGAACACAGTAAAATACACCAATTAATGGGTTAAGAAGTGAGGAATATGAAATAATGGCCAAAAGCCAGAATAAAGAAGAGGCGGCCATTGCTAGGCAAGGAAGCGATAAATACGTTTCCTCAGCAATGAATGGATGGCAACATCGAACTATGTGTCTGCATCAAGTTTTGTGTGAAGCTTGGCAAATCCGATACAAAAACTCCTGAAGAACATTCTTTAAGGTGGATAGAGGTTTTTGAATGGCATTAATGTTTCAAGGCCGGTCAAGTGTCAGTTGAAGATGGCGAATATTCAGGGGGACCAAGCACCAGCAAGATGACAGAAAATGTTTATAAATTTTGAGAACTCATCCACGAAGACCGTCGCTGAACAATCCATGAGCTCGCAGACACCATTGGAATCAGTTATGGAGTTTGCTGGGAGATCTTAACAGAAAATTTGAGCATGCTCCACATTGCCCCTTCATCACGACAATCTGCCTACCCACATGTCCCTAAAAACCACAGAGTTTGTGACTAACAACAATATAGTTATCATTCCCCATCCTCCCTACTCACCGGAGTTAGCCCCCCTGTGATTTCGCTTTGTTTCTCAAATTGAAAATGAAACTGAAGGGATTATGTTTTGAAACAATGTTTGACATCCAAAAGGAATTGCAAGTGGCACTCAACAGCATTAAGGAAAATGACTTCCGCGGTTCATTTGAAGATTGAAAAAACAATTGGATCTCTGGCAACCAAAATTGAGTAAGTTAAGCCAGCATTTCTTTTTTGACCTAGTCTGCAAGCTTTCTGATAGAACCTCATACATGCTCCAGAAATATGCTTACCCACTTGCAATGGGTAACTTATGGGAAAACAGTGGCAAGAATAATTTTAGTTTATTTAAATGCATGAAGTTCAAATCAATTCAATTCAATTTGAATCATCTAATATAGGATAATGAAAAAATTATTTAGTACAATTTCTTTGAGATGTAGACAGAAAATCTAAGAATGTATTGCTTTTTTTCACTTATCTTAGCATTTTTAACATTTCCTTAAAATTATGGACAAGGGAACTTTGTCATCTTGTTAGTTCATCTAAGATGTATTCCTGCTGCCAGATCAGATATCATCATTTATAGAACTCTTTTACTTCGATAAGCCAGGCTCTTTTCTTGTTGCACTGATTGAACATTACCTGACTTGGTAGGCCAGATCTCCAGCAGGTATTTGAGCACACTAATAGGCTGACCAAAGTCTAAATCCTTTCCTTCCTCACTCTGCAACATCAGGACTGGACCAAAACAAATGGCGAGGTTTTGCGGGGACATCTTGTTGCGCTCTGACTGTGATACAACTAATGCTAGATGGTCCATCAAGAATATTAATGTGTGCTGAAATCACATAAATCCAAGCACAAAATATAATATGAATAGCATGCCAAAAAGTGGCTCGTATCACAATTAGTCCATTACAGCATCTATTGGTCATTATACTCATATTGGAGACAAAATTGTATCACAATATATGATGCAAATTCTATAAACAAAACGAGTAAGAGATTAAACGCTGCTTGTTTTGTTATTAGATCTGTTAAATCACTTCTAACAATTGATGATTTAAAAATTGTATATTATGCATATGTTTATTCTATTATGACATATGGAATTGCCTTCTGGGGAAATGCTGTAAATAGTAAAAATATTTTTATAGTTCAAAAAAGAATTATAAGAATTATTATGAATGCAAATCCTAAAGCATCTTGTCAAGGATTTTTTAAACGTTTAAATATATTGCCTTTTTATTCCCAATATATATTCTCTTTATTGCTATTGGTAGTGAAAAATATGCATCTATTTGTGATTAACCCTTTGACGCGGTAATTTAAATTCCGCGGCTGCGTCTCCTGCGGTAATATATTCAGCCGGCCATTTAAATTTTGCTCGAAAATGATTTATTCATCATTGTTCTTAAATTCTATGAGATAGGAACATGAAACTTTCACTAAAATGATCTTAAAAGGTGGTTTTATAACCTTACCTTATAATATGAGCGCCCTTTATATCTTCAATGGAAGCAGGTTTTTTAGTATTTGAGCAGTGAATGGTACGCCTTGAAGCATGAAACTTTCACTAAAATGATCTTAAAAGATGGTTTTTATAACCTTACCTTATAATATGAGCGCCCTGTAT